CGCCCCTCCACTCACAGCACCGTCTCCGGCGCTGCGCAGCTTGTGGAGTCCCGCTTTTCCTCCCCGCCTTCGCTGGTCGGGAGGTCCGGGCGGGGCAGTAGCTTCTCTTCCCTCAGTGCGGGGAAGCAGGGGAGGCAGAGCCCCGGGCACGGAGCGGGGAGGGGCGTGAGAGCATGGCGGGGCCCTCGCGCCGTCCCAGCCCCGGCCGTGCTGCCGGAATGCCGGGAGCTGCGGTGCGCCTTGCCTGGGGGCACCGGCTGCCCCTCCAGGGCCTTTCAGCCGTTCGCGTTGCGCTGGAGGGTTCCCGGGCGGGCGGCGCTCGCTCGGCGTGGCCCCTTGGCTTGCAGCCTCACGGGCAGAACTTCAGCAGGCCCCTCGGGCAAGAAAAGCTCTTGCACACGGCCGCTCGGCCGGGAAAGCGCTTCAGGGCCGCCCCCCCAGGGCCGCTGTGCCGGACTCGTGGCCTGGCGGGCCAGCAGGTGTTTGCAAGGCCAGGCGAAATCCTTGGCGATAAGACCGGGGGGCCGGAGCGGGGGCCTGGCCAGGGCACAGCTGATGTCCGGAACAGAAGGGGCCGGGAGCAGGAGGCGCGCCAAGAAAGGGTCCGGCCCAGAGGAGACTCACCGCTTGTGCAGGCTCCCAGCAAAACACGCAGCGTGCAGGCAGCCCCGGAGGGACCCCCGAGACGAGTCTGTGCGAGGCGCCTGCCCCTCTTCGCTGGAGGGGGACCACGGAGGGGGTGGCCTTTCCTGCAAGGATGACCTTCGGGCTGGCTAGAGGGCTGAATGGGGACCGGCCTCTCAGCCTAGCCGGCCGCACAGGCACATGGAGAGGATCCAGGGAGTCGGAGGGGGACACTGCACGGATGGATTGGTTCCGAACTTTCATATCACAGTGGTCTCACGAAAGGCGGTTCCTCTGCACGTGCTCCCTGGAGCAAAGGGGAAGCCTCAGAGCAGTGCCCAGTTGACGGGCTGGCCCTGCTCTTTCGTCTGGATGGGTGGCACCCCAGGCTGGCTCTGTGCCAGGTGCGGCTCGTGGGGCCTTCGCCGTCTCGCTGGTTCCCTTGGCGAGCTGTGCTTGGCCCGCCCGTACAAGCATCTCGGAACCATTTTCGGCCCCTGTGTCGGCGCACCATCGTCTCGGCCAGATACTGCCGCGGATCCCAGCCGGGACTTGCACAAGCCCGCGCGGTCTGGCAGGGGCTTCCCTGAACCCGGGTTCGCGGGCACGGACGGGGTGCAAGGGCAGGATGGCGGAGTTCTGAGCACCAAGGCCGCCCTGCCAGGGATGCTGCGGAGGTGGGATGAGGCAGGCTGCAGGCCCCACGGAGGCCAGTGGGACTCGCCTCCGAGGAGACGCGCAGAGGGCTGTGCTGCAGAAGCCCCTTCCCAGGACGTCGGTGCCACCCAAAGGGTGCAAGATGCCAGCTGGGGACCTGCGTGTGCGACAAGCACCCGGGAGAGCTAGTCCCTGCCACAAAGCTGACAGTTTGACTTTGGGCCAGTTGCTGAGAGGAAAAAGCAGGATACAAATTTAATCACTAAATACATATTTTTCAAATGTTAAGCTTCAATTGTAACACTTATTACAGATAATGAAACCTCTTCATAAAGTACTGATGTGGGGAAGCGATGGGACAGTAACACCCCCTGGTTGCCATAACTTCCTCAGGTTCAATTTTGTGGCATTTCCAGTGTCCCTCAGGAATCTGGGAACACGTGTACGGGCACGTGTACGGCACGCAGCTGCTCTTATCAGGAAGAAGGACTTAAAAAACAACCAGCCACCATTTTTCATCCCAGAAATCTCCTGCATGGAATCTGGACACCTGCACAAATACCGAATCAAATAAACACCCGATAAGGTCAGGGCGGTGAACTATATTAAGAAAAGGGGGACGAAGAGCTGTCCCCAGGTGAGAGGAGACACGCAGGTAAAGAGACATGCCCAGTCCCTCATAAACTTAGATTTTACTTAAACTGGATTCGGGCTGATTCCCCCACTGCAGAGGACACCCAACGGAGGATACGCCAAGGCCCACGCCAAGGCCACTCTGCACCACCTGGGCAGCGGGTGCAGTCCGCCCAGCAGGTCCATCCTGGCACCTGTGCCTGTCTCTGCGCTGCCCGGCCAGGGCTGCATCCCAACAGGACTTCCTTCCAGGGATTCCCGGGGGAAGGAGGAAGGAAGGATCCTGGGAAGCAAGGGGGGGCTGTCCTTTGCCATGGTGCCATGGAAGACAAAGGACGAGAGACCCCCAAGGAGGGGAGAGGCACCGGTGCGAAGCTGCCCCCTTCCCTGTCCCCGCCCAAGCACCCAGGAACAATCATGTCTTTCACTAGGGGAAGGTGACCTTCGCCAAGGTGTGTCTAAGGAAAATCACTAGCAGGAACCATCTCCAGCAGACTCCCTACCCGCACCAGGTAAGAGTGGCCAGTGGCTGCAGGACCTGGCCACGAAAAGAGATGGCAGGTTCAGGGTGGGACATTTGCCAAGCCAGGCTGGGGCACAGGAGGGCTTGCCAGGTGCTGCTAGAAAGCCGAAGTCAGAAGCAAGAGGAGGAGGGGGCAGACCTTCTGGAAACGGACCTGGAAGCCCCCTCAGCCTCTCATACCCCCCCTCCCCCCCCCCCCCCCCCGCTGTCCTCTGCCTTCGCGCCTCTTTCTGAGTTGCTGAAACGTGGAATTTGTGGTTCGCGGCTGCTCTGACATAGGGCCAGAGCGTACCACTCCGGCTGCATGCACTGGATTCTGGAATGCCTCACCATTCCCCCTCGGAGGCTGAGAGAGCAAATGCAGGGCCAGGGACTGCTCTGCCCCAGAGGAACGCTGACTGGACACCCAAGAAAAGCCTGGGTAACTTGTACCGCTTCACTGGAGATGTAGATTTATTACGGAACTCGCACCAACAAGACTAGGAATCAAACACTACTTTCAGTCTGAAATCCCATCAGTGGCTCAGAAATGGATTTGGAAAAGCGCACTGCAGAGAAGGTTAAGCACGAATTTGAACACCGCTGTGGAATAACCCTTCACTCTGGCCAAGCTGAGCAATTTCTCTGAGGGAAGTAATGACTGCTGGCGTTGTGTCGGTCCCAAAGAGCCCTGTGGCGAATTGTGGACCAGTCTCAGAATTAGAACTTACCTGATCTCTACCTTCAAGGGAACTGGAAAGGATACGTGGGGCTCCCAGGGGGAGCCCTCCAAAGGCTGCCACTCAAAACCACACAGTCTTTTTCTCTGAACAGAGGTTCTTTTGACAAGAAAAAGGACAGAAGAGGCAGTGCAAAAACATGGGAGGGTTTCCAAAGGAATAGTTTATCCGGGCATCCCACAAAATCCAGGTGTGCGGGATCAGCCCCTTGTCTGGAAGTCCCTTACCTGCACCTTCCCTTTGCTCCCAGTCTGAGTATTGATGTGCCATATCAGAAACGCGGCATCACTGAAGACACTGGCATGAAGTCGGATTAATTAACAGCTCTGCACTTGGCTGTAAGTGGGTGAACATTAATCCACCCGTCTTGGATGGCTGGCAAGTGGGCCAATCTTTTACTCACAAGGAGGCTGTGGCTAACTCCCGACACCGTTCCTCCCCTGACAGTTCTCCCGAACTGGAATGCAGATAGATGGAGCGTAGGCCAGAGCGGGCTATGGAGCAAAAGGGGGGGCCCAGAGGGGAACCCGTCTGCACCCCCAGACACCTTTGCCCCCCTCTCACTGTGCAGGCGAGGACCATGAAGCCGGCGCTGCCGCTGCTGCTCCTGGGCGGGCTCCCCCTCCTGCAGCTTGCCCTGGCCTTGAAGATCAGCGCCTTCAACATCAGGACATTTGGGGACAAGAAGCTCTCCAACCTGACCATCGCGGACACGATTGTCAGAGTGAGTCGCTCGGCCCTCGTCTGCGGGGAGACTCACAGCCGAGCTGCCCCCACCAAGCAGGCCTCTGGGCCTCGTTCTCCCAGCAGAAGGGCTGGATGACAGCTCCCAGAATGCCCCGGGCCGCTCCTGCACACCTGGCGGGCACCTGACTGGGGAAGGAAGCTGCGCGGAGTCTTGCGACCCTTTCCTCTTCCACAGAAGAGGCCACAGCCGTGCCGCCTCTTGTCTCCAGAGGAACGGGGAGACTCGGTCGCAGCACAAAGCTCCCTTTCCGCCTCCCGGTCGGTGCGCAGCTTCACCCGCAGAGCCAGTGAGCGCCCTCTGCTGTCTGCCACCCCAGGTTGTCTCCACCTACGACATCACCCTCGTCCAGGAGGTGCGCGATGCCGACCTCTCTGCAGTCAAGCAACTGCTGGACCAACTTGACCGGTGTGTTTCCCATTAGGAGCTGCCAGGAGGGGGGACCGTAAAGCAAACCTAATCGCGGGGTAGCTGCAAGGGCACATCTCCGGAGGATGTGGGGGGGGGTCATGCCTTCTTTCTGCAGGAAAAGCATAGGGTTCTGCCACTCAGAAGGGACCATTTCTCCCCCGCGCCCCGAGGAGGGTGAACGTCCAGCAGCGGTGGGGTTGGGAAAGAGCGCAGGCCTTCAAAAGGAGCAGCAGACAGAAGACGGATCCCTGGTGCTTCCCGATGAGGCTTCCGGCCCGCGATGGGGGTCCAGGCCTCGGCCTGTAGCCCTGCTGGGTTTCTCCAGTCAAGAGGAAGCGGCCTTTGCCCTGGGGGCCCCCTGCCTAGGATCCCTCGCTGACCCGCCACTCGCTCGCTTGGTCTGAGGTCCGGAACGCAGAAGCCTCTGCCTGCACCGCCCGTGCTCACGGCACGCTCTCCCGCAGGGCCATCCCCGATCCTTTCAGCTACGTGGTCAGCAAGACTTTGGGTCGGAACAACTACAAGGAGCAGTACCTGTTCATTTACAGGTGAGGCCTCGAGCGAGAGAAGGGTGCAGCGGGGACAGGGCATCCTCACAGAGGCAGGCCCCGCGTCCGTCTTGGCCGGTGCTGCTGACCCTGACCGGCAGCCACAGCTCCACAGGGGTCCAGGTGGGAGTCTTCCTTGCGTCCACCTGGAGAGGCTGCCCAGAGTCAAACCTGGCCCTCCCAGGTGCAATGCGGGGACTCTGCTGTGGGGCAGCAGCCCGTGGTGGGACTCGGAGGATGTCCAGGTGACTCCCCCCGCCCTCCCCACTTCCCTGCCGGCTCTCAGTGCAGCCTCAGCCAGAAATCAAGACCTGCCAACCACAGAAGAGCCAGTTCGGCTTCCTCGTCCGTGAAATTCAGCACCACTTTCTGCCTTGTCCTTGAATGCTGACTGGAGCCCATTCTGCTCCCTTGGATCGCCCCGTGCAAAAGTGTTCCTGCTGCTCTGGGGCACTTTCTGGCTGTTTCCTTTCATATTTTTGTTGCTCTCTTGGCTTGCTGGTGCTTGCCATGTGCGCTCGTAGTGGAAAGTCGCGAGACCCAGACGAGCAGATGCACCCCCCACCTGCTGACCTTCTGCCACGCTGCCCAGGGCCGCCTGTTCTTCCCCCGGTCGTTCTGGCCGCTGCTGCCTGAAGCTCTCTCTGTCGTGGGCACCCCCCCAGCGCCCTTGAGCCTCCCCCGAGCCCCTGCCCAGGGGGAGCGGGGCGGAAGCGCCCAGTGCTGCCCTCGCGGCTTCTCTTGGCGCAGGCGGGACAAGGTGGCTCTCCTGGACAGCTACTACTACGAGGACGGCTGTGAGTCCTGCCGAAATGACACCTTCAGCAGGGAGCCGTTCATTGTGAAGTTTGCCGTGCCCCAGACGGGTAAGCCGAGGGCAGGGGCCTGGACCCCATGGCCGGGATGAGCAGCTGGGCAGGATGCGTGCCCCGCCTGCCGCTGCCAGTCACCGGGGAGGGCTGTTCTGAGTCAACCTGCTCCGTTCCCAGCCCGCTGCCTCATAATTCCGGGGATTCTGGTTATTGCAGTCCAACCCAGTCTGGAGGGCATGAGGTTGGGGAATGCTGGCTAGCGGCCCAGCCCTTCCTGCGGCATCAGCAGAGCCCCTGAGACTGGAAGGGCATAAGCCAGGGGCCCGTCCTCACCCACAGAATGTGGCCAAGGAATTCCTGAGTCCGGGCTGCCACGGGAGTGGGGGCTTGAGGCCCAACTGAACCCCCACAGCACCCCCCCAAACAAAAGCTAAAAAAAAGCGCCCAAGGAGCTGCAGGCACATGAATCCTGTGTTATCCCTGGAGTCCTGCTTAAAGCACAAAGTCCCACATGCTCGGAGGAGGGGGCTAAATTCGGGATCGGTGGTTTGCAGCTGTGGCCTCACGAGTCCGGAGCACAGGGGCAGCTTTTCGGCCTGGAAGAGAAGTTTGATGCTGGGAGTGGGGGGGGGGGGCGATGTTTGTGTGCTTCCCACAGCCACCGACGGCCCTCCAGTGAAGTCCGGGGTCCCGTGCCAGGCTGTGGGACGGCTGGGGAAGCGATCCCGCCCCGCCGCAGCCTGCGCTGGATGCTCCAAGCCCCTGTCCTTCGCCGGAGGAGGAGGAGGAGGAGGAGGAGGAGGAGGAGGAGGGCCCTCCCCGCCAGGTGCTAGGAATCAACAGGTGCGACTCCTGGCACCCACTCGCCATGCCTCGGCCGGCGGGGGTGCGGGAGCTGCGTGCGAGGCCCCCGTATGACGACCCCCCCCCCGCTCTGCCAGAGGCGAAGGAGCTGGTGCTGGTCCCGCTGCACGCCGCGCCCCAGGAGGCCGTGGCCGAGATCGACGCGCTCTACGACGTCTTCCTGGACGTGAAGCACAAGTGGCGCACCGACGTAAGCCCCGTGCCCCAGCCCCATGGCTGCACTCGCCGCCCGCCCAGGGGCCCCCCGGCCCCTCGCCGGCCGCTGCGCCTGCACCCAGCCCGCACCTTCCTCTGCCCCGCAGGAGATGCTCTTCCTGGGGGACTTCAACGCGGGCTGCTCCTACGTTCTGCCTGAGGACTGGCCGCGCATCCGCCTGCGCTCCAGCGCGGCCTTCCAGTGGCTCATCCCGGACAGCGCGGACACCACCGTGAGCAGCACGGTCTGCGCCTACGACAGGTAGGCACGCGTTCCCCGAGCCCCGGGCGCCCAGGCTCGCTTCCTCGGAGGCGGGGTGGCACGCAGCCATGAGGACTGGCGGCTTGGGCTGCGAGGCTTGGCAGGTGGCCACGCAGCTGCAGGGCTCGCGGAGCTGGAGGGCGCAGGACGGGGGCGGCAGACCAGCGGGCACAGGCGGTAGTGAGGCAGCACCTGCCCGGGGAGCGGGGCGCAACACGGGTGCCCGGGCGGGGAGAATCGCCCGAGCCTCCCCGCCGGCCCAGCCTCGCATGGGTCACGCGGTCTGGGGTCGACGTGGCCGCTGCAGCTCGCCCAGCCCCCTTGCTGATCCCCCGCACGCTGCCCCGCAGGTTGGTGGTGGCCGGGACCCGGCTGAGGAGCAGCATCCTGCCCGGCACAGCCGGGGTGAACGACTTCCAGCGGACCTTCAGGCTCAGCCAGAAGGATGTGAGCAACTCCCGGGAGGCTGGCCGGCGGGTGGGGGGTGCGGTGGTGGCAGGGAGGTCGAAGGAGGGGGCGCAGGTGCCCACAATGCCTCTCTCGCCCCCCTTTGCCCCCTTGGGCGGAGAATACATGTGCCGCATCCCTCCATGCTGGCAGCATCGCGCAGCACTTCCTGGCGGGGGCCATCTCCCCGGAGCTGGGGTGGGCCACCTCCTCCTCCTTCCCCACTGTATCTTCCCAGCAGCCCTGCGGGGTAGGCTGGTCGGAGGCTTGCGATCTGGCCCAAGGCCTCCCCAGTCCCCATCCGACACGCCGGCAGCCAATCTGACCCCGTGCTTGCGCTGTGCTCGGGAGCAAGAAGGCGCCGTGTGTTTCCCTGACGCTGCTGTTGCTTCCCTCCCCTGCCGCTTAGGCCTTGGCGGTGAGTGACCACTTCCCCGTGGAAGTGAGCCTGCAGTGATGCCGCAATTCGCCCGGGGTATCCCAGCCGCCCAGCGCAGGGACCGTCGGCACGTCCTCCCTGCTCCTCCGCGGAGCCGGTGCCTCCACTGCATCTCTGCAGCCGCACCTTGAGCCAGATGTGCCGCCTGCGCGGTCCCTCGACACAGTGAGACGTTTGTCCCGCTCCAGGGAGGTGCTGATCCCGACAAGCTGCCGGTGCAAGATGGCGAGGACGGGGCCGGGCTGAATAAAGCTGTCCGCGAGCCACACGCGTGCTGGTCTGGCAAGTTCTTGCTCTAGCTCCTCCCCTGCTCGGCCGCAGAGGTCCCCGTTTCTCGTGAGCTGCTCCACGGCGCTCCCACGGGCCCTCCGGCCCCTTCTGTGGTCTTTGATCCGCCTCCTGGCCTGGCTGGTGTTTTCCCACCGAGCTCAGTGATTCCTAGGCAGGCCACGGTTGGGGTCCCTGCTTTGGGCAAACGGGCCTGGAGCGGGGCTGGAGAGCGGATGCTGCTGGGCAGAGGCAGAACCGAGGCAGGACGTTTGCCCCGAGCAGGACGCAGCAGGGCTGCGGGCCACCCCGTTACAGCGAGGGGGACGGGCGCTTTCCCAAGAGCCCCTCTCCACACGAGGCACAGGGAACCGCAGCGGTTGTGCAAGGCACGGCCCGCGTTTCGCAAGGGCCGCATCCACTTTGGCAAGAGCCCAGAAGAGACGGCCGGGCTCCCAGAGGGCGGCATGTGGCGTGCCGGGGGTTGCTCTGTGCCCGCGGGTGCCTCTCTGGGTGTCCCGAGGGCGTTCCCAGCGCCGCTCGTTCCCTGGCTGAGGCCCTGCTAGTCGCAGGCTGGCTTCCCGGGTGGCCACAGACGCCCTCCAGGACCACGTGGGGCTGAGAACCAGGGCAGGTTGCCTTGGGGGAGCGAGGACTTGCGAGGGGAAGTGGGGGGTGGCCACCCCCAGCCTTCCCATCCCGGGCAGATGGTGTTGCTTCGCACCTCCCCACACTCGGGGAGTCCAGCAGCGCCTATAATTCAGGGCCGCCAAGCTGGGCAAGCAGAAGCAGCTTGGCCCCTCGGCCGAGTGCGGCTGGCAGGCTTCCTGCCGGGCCCCCGAAGCCCGGGGTGACTCTCCCCCCTTCCCATTGGTCTTCAGGGCCTCCGGAATAGATCCTGTCCGTGCCCCACAGCCCCCCCCCACCTGAGAGTTGCCAAAGGAGCCCAAGCCACGCAGCAGCCCCGGCAGAGCCCAGCTGGCAAATCTGCCCCGGTGTGTGCGGTTCTCCCAGAGGGCGAGCGCTCTGGGCAAGGCCTGCCCTGTCTTTGCCGGGATCCCCCGGCCGGCCACCGGGCACAAGGCACAGGGCAGCCGGACGGAGCCGGCACAGGGCTGGGCGGGCTGTTGAGCCTGAAGCGGGGGGAGATCTCTGGAGGAGCCGGGGGGGGGCGCTTCTGAGCCTGCTTCCTCACAGGAGGGCGGGGAGGGTGGCAGGACAGAGCGGCTCATGCGGTTCAGGGCAGGACTCCTGCTTGGCCCAGAGGCCGGTCGCTCGGGCCCCCAGGCGCTCAGGCTCCTCAGCTCTCCTGCCACTTCCACCGCCCCGGCCTCTTCTTCTCCGCTAGCCGGACATGGCAGTTGTCCCTGCAAAGTTGTCCTTTCTCTCTGCTCAAGGGTCCCCCAGGCTGTGCCCGGGGCTTGCCGTTGATGGCTCTGCTTCTCGGCAGTGCTCCTGCGCAGGCGGAAATCCTACAGGCGTGACCTTGGCACGTACAGTCGCACCTGCTGCACACCTGAGGTCACAGAGTTGCTCCCAATGGCTTCCGTGCGCGGGCGCCTTCTTGCGCTGCCACAAACTTTGCAACCACGATGGTGCAACGCCCGGCCCTCCCAAGGTGGAGCTTGCAGCGCTGCTCTGGAAAAGGCACAGTCCGAAGGTGCTTATTAAGGGCCCCCACCCACACGAGGGATGGGCACTCGCTTCCTGGCGCAGAGGAGCAGGTGCTTGGTGGTGCCGGGGCCAGTGCTGCGCTCCTTCGCTGGCATTCTGGCCGAGGACCGAGGCTGGGGAAGAGTTTGCTGACTGACGGAGCGCCAGGGCGGGAAGGACTCCGGGCGTGCGCCAAACCACAGTAAGGCTGCTTGCTTTTTGAAGCTCCTTCGCTTCGCTTTGTGCGGGGTTGGGGTTCTCCCCCACATCATATTCCACCTCAAAGGCACCCTGTGCGACTCCGTTCTCCTCGACGCCAACACGTGGCTTGTGCAATGTAAGGCGTGGCGACGGTCGCGGGCTTCAAGGGGGTAGAAGAGACTTTGCCGACGGGATCGGAGCTAGCGGGCCGCCCGAGGGAGCGATCGCGGGGCTGCGGTGGACAGCTCGATAGAAGTGGCAGTCCGGCAAGCGTGCGGCGGCCGCGACAGGCGTGCGCCGTGGAGGCACAATTAGGGAAGCGGCTGAATTTGACTGCTGGCATCGCACTCCCCCTTGCACAAACTTGGGCACAGCCACTCTCGTGCATAGCTCTGGCCACCGCACCAACGGGAAGGATACGGGCAGGTGGAGAAGGCGCAGCCAAGGGCAGCTCGGAGGACCCAGGGCTGGGCAGCCCCCTGTGAGGAGAGGGCGCAGCCCCCTGTGAGGAGAGGGCGCAGCTGCCGATGCGGCACGTGAGGGGAGGCTGAGGGAGGTGCGCGGAAGGCGGCCGGGAGCGAAGAAGCTGCCGCGATGGGAAGCAGGCGTTCCCCTTGTCCTGGCCCAGAACCAACGGAATCAGGCTAACGTGGGTCCCCTCTGATCTCAGCGTGTGGACCTCGTTTCCCCCAGTGCCAGCTCTCTTCTCTTCAAACCAGCCCTGCTCTGCTGCCTTTTAGGGCGGCCTGGGATGCGGTCATTCAGCCGGTGAAGCTTGTCCTCGCCACTTTCTCTGGGTGCCAGGAAAAGCATCGCCTGCTTTTGGGCAGCAAGTTTCCCACAGGCCCGCAGGGCTCTGCCCTGAGGTAGGGGCCCCTCCTCAGCAGCCTCGCCGAGGCCGAGCCTCGTGCCAAGAAGGGCTGCTCCTCAGCCGTCCATGCTCAGGCTGAGTCCCAGGGAGGAAGGTATTCATGTGTCGTTCAAAATCTCGGGTGTTTCTACAGGCTTGTGGACACGGCCTGTTAAAAGCTGGTGGAGCTTCACTTTGGGCATGTGAGTACAGCAGGTGTTCCCACAGCGTGCCCCCTTTTCCTGCCCCCTAAGCCCCCGCCCCATTACTCCAGGGACCATGAGGCTGCTGCTGGTGCCCTGCCTGGCTTTTTTGCTGCCGGTGGCCAGCCCCCTGCGCATCTGCGCCTTCAACATCCAGAGCTTTGGAGACAGCAAGCTGTCGGATGAGGGGACCTCAGAGGTCATTGTCAAGGTGAGCACATGGGGGAGAGAGCGGTGGGGGCCCGTGGTGGAGAGAGGGCGGCTCCCGAGGGAGGAAGGGGCCCACGGAAGGGGTATCGCCTGCGGACTGCCTGAAAATGGGGGGCAGTGTTGGGGCCCCACACACGGCACAACCTTCGGGGCGCTGGCTGAGTGCTGTGGGGGGAGAGGGGACGAGCGGCAGGCCTGTCCTGATCTCGTCCCTCGGGGCGTGTGCTCCTGGCAGATCCTGTCCCAGTACGACATCGCCCTGGTGCAGGAGGTGCGCGACTCCGACCTCAGTGCTGTCAGCGAGCTGCTGGAGCGCCTCAACAGGTAACGCACCCGAAGCCTCGCAGGCGGGGGGCGGGGAGGCCAGGGCAGGTGCGCCAGCGTGGGACTGGCCCTCCTCCTTGGCCAAGCCGTGCTGTGCGGTTGGATGCCGCCCGGCTGCAAAAAGCACGTGGCCGGAGGGGGCCTCGTGTTTGGCAAGGCCTCCTCCTCCAACCTGCTCGGCACAGGTGCGCTGGCACGCTTGGGCAAGCAGCGCACGGGCGGGGAGGGCCAGCCGCTGGGTGGGGGAGTCGAACGAGGGGAGAGGACGCCCCGACTCGGCCTCCCCGCCTCTGCCTTGCAGTGCCTCCAAGCACAAGTACGCCTTCGAGATCAGCCAGTCGCTGGGGCGCGAGAACTACAAGGAGAAGTACCTCTTTCTCTACAGGTGCTGGCACCCATCCCCACCCCAAACGGCAGCCCTCATACCTGCACCTCGCTGGACCCCCGGGGCTGCTCGCCAGCACAGAGGCCTGCCCGATGCGGAGGCCGGCAGCTTGCCCCCAGCCGGTGCGGAGCGGCTCGCTCTGACGGGCCAGAGCTCCATGGCTGAGCACCTGCTCTGCACTGGGGCCGCCCTGGCTCAAAGCGCCCCCCACACACATGGCCGGCGAGGTGGGCCAGTGAGGTCTCCCTTCTGAGCCGAGCTCCTGGAGGGCTCCGGCCAGCTGGGGGGACAGCACAGGCTGGGCGGGCCGATGGTCTGTCTCGGGCAAAGCGTGTGGGAGGGAACCTGCTAGGAAACCTGCCGGCAGTGGAAGGGGTTCCTCTCCTCGGACCCAGCAGGACGGGGCACTGGAGCCCGGGCAGCGGCCCTGGGCTGGTCGGACCGGTGGCGCCCCTGGCCCGGGAGGCCGGCCCCGAAGGGCCCCACAGTTATCCCTCTGCGGCTGCTGCTGACACCCCTCGGCTCCGCTCTGCTCCCTCCAGGTCGGTGCGCGTCTCCGTGGCCAGCACCTACCAGTTCCCCGACAAGAGCGACGCCTTCAGCAGGCCGCCCTTCATCGTGAAGTTCTCGGTTCCCGATGCAAGTTAGTGAGCGGGGGGCGGCTCGGGGGGGCACGGCTGCCCGGCAGGGCTCCGGGGCCGCGGGCGGGAACCTTCCCCAGCAGCGGCTTCCGTGCGTTTGACGATGGAGACCACGTCCCTCTGCAAAACTGCGGAGCGCGGGGCGGCGACGCCGGCGGCGGCTCGGCCGGTGTGGGTCAGGCGCCGCCGCGGCTCTCCTCGCTCGCCCCACTGCTGCGCCGCCCGGGCCCTTGGCGGACGGAGATCCAGACCCGAAGCGCACCGGGCCGTTTGCCGGGAAGCGACCGCGGGCGACCCCCGCCCCCCGCAGCCGCCCCCACCGGCGACCGGCGACCGGGGGCTGGCGGGGCGCGGTGACGCGGCTCTCTTGCAGAGGAGGCGGAGCTGGTCCTGATCCCGCTGCACGCGGTCCCGGGCGAGGCCGTGGCGGAGATCGACGCGCTCTACGACGTGTACCTGGCGGTCATCGACAAGTGGGGCACGGACGTGAGTGCGCGAGGAGGGGGTCGGAGACGGGGGTCCCGAGCTGCCGCCCGCGCCCTCGCCCGCCCTCTTCGGCCGGGAGCGGGAAGGCGCATGGGGGCGCCAGCCGGATGCCCCGCCGGCGCCTGGCTGTCCGCCGCTGGAGGCTGGGCGCTGGGTCGAGCGCGGCCGTCTGCTCTGCCCGCTGAGCCTCCCCTCCCCTCCCCTCCCCTCCCCTCCCCTCGCCTCGCCTCGCCCCGCAGAACATGATGTTCCTGGGGGACTTCAACGCGGACTGCAGCTACGTGGGCAAGAAGGACTGGGCCGCCATCCGCCTGCGCGCCAGCGAGGTCTTCCACTGGCTCATCCCGGACTCGGCTGACACCACGGTGGGCAAGTCCGACTGCGCCTACGACAGGTGAGAGGCGGGCAGGGGGCAGCCGAGGGGCAGGGCTTCCCCCCCCACCCCCGCAGACCGCTTCTGCCATCGCCGGCCGGGGCCACCACTGGCCCCTCGGACCCCCAGTGCCACACCGGGCGGCCTCTCTGGGCCTCCCCCCCGCCCTGCTTCTCATGCCCTGGGAAGGCTGCTGGGGTCCCACGCCAGCCTTTCGGGGGCCGGGGCGAGGGCTCCCCGCTGGACGGGGACAAGGGGAGCAGGGCCGCTCCGACGGTGCCCTGTTGTGTCCCAGGATCGTGGTGAGCGGCTCGAAGCTGCGGAAGTGGATCAAGCCCAACTCTGCCACTGTGTTTGATTTCCAAAGAGCTTTCAAGCTGAACCAAGAAGAGGTAATCGCTCGCTCGCTCGCTCTCTCTCTCTCTCTCTCTCTCTCTCACACACACACACACACACCCACCCACCACGTTTAAGTCATTAGTTTAAGCTGTTTCCCAGCTTTCTAACTGATGTGGTTTTTGAACAATTGTGGATATGAGCCCACTGTTAAAGGGAGTTTGCCTGCCACCAAATCCGGCCTTCCGGTCACCCGGGAGCACAAGCCAGAGGGCCCAGGGCCGGTCCGTCCACCGCAGAGCTTTTCCTGACAGGGAAGCGATTGTGTGCCGGGACACTGGCTTTGGCCACGGCTGGGCTCGCCTGCCTGAAGGCTTAGCGCTGCCCCGCCTGCTTCCCCGGGGGCGAGTCTGGTCCGAACGGGCAGGGCGGTGTGGCGGGGCTGGAGCGGGGGGCTCTCCTGACCCGCCATGTTCTTCCACGGGCTTCTCCCTTCCCCGCAGGCGCTGGTCGTCAGCGATCACTTCCCGGTGGAGGTGACCCTGAAGTCTCGCTGACGCTGCTCCGCGGCCCCCCACCCGCCACCGCTGCCGCGCAAGATCCCGCTTGCCCCCCGGGCCGGCAGAGGGGTGGCCACGGCCCCCGGGCCCACGGGCCCCTCTCCTGCCTCTGCCCCTCCCACTCGGCCGGCTCGCAGGTTTTGAAACGATCGCTTCGAACTGGAAGGCTGCCCTGCGAAGGCCCATCGTCCACAGCCGCCTTTTCCCCAGAATGAGAACCACTGTGGATCTGGCTGTTCCCCAGCCCTCTGCCCTCTAGGATGGGGGGCAGCAACTGCTCGATCACTGACTGGGGATGATGGGAGTTGTCACCAGCACAGAGGGCACCGAGCTGGGGAAGAGAGTGCTCTGACACGGTTGTAGATTGCCAGTTCAGATCCTCCCTCAGTCGTGAGGCATCCCAGAGGACTTTGGGAAAATGACTTGCTCAGCCTAAGCTACCTCACAGGGTTGTTGTGAGGATAAAATGCTGTGTGGAAGCATGTGATCTCCCGCTGCAGAAAATGGCATGAGAAATAATATGTATAAGCGGAACTGTCCAGCCTCCTGTCCTAAAAGGCCAAACCCTCCTTCTGGGCACCAGGCCAGCATTTAAATGGGCTGCAAGTGGGGGGGGGCAGGTGGCCTGCAGACCCAGCACTTGTGAGGGGCTCGAGTGAGTGAGCCAAGCAGCAGGCGAGGACCAAGGCAGCCACTCCGATGCAGACAATTCCTTCCCTGTATGGTCGACGATCCAGTCGGCAGCACCCCCTGGACCCTGGCGGAAAAGTCAGGATTTTGGGATGCAGCTTGCCACACCCACCACATCGGTTGCCGATTTCCGTGTGCCTTGAGGAAGCGGGCAAGCAGGAAGTCCCAAGCAGGGGCTGGCTTTATCTGCATCCTTTGGGAATCACGAGGCCCAGGAGCCTTCCGGCGCCTCCGGCACCCCCCCACAGCTCTCCTTTGCGGGCACGCCTGGGGGTCGCCTCAGCTCCAGCCAGCTCAGCTTCCGGGCAGGGCAGGGCACGGCCCAAGCAGCCGCCTGTGGCCTCGGCTGGCGACCCGCAGCTGGGGCAAGAGGTGCTGCCGGGGCCTTTGGACCGCGGGAGGGCAAACCGCCACTTCCCTATTCTGCCCGGCTGCCCCATTTGCACAACTCGGGCCCCGGCTGAAGCAGGCTGCTTGCGCAATACTGGGCAGCCGCCCTCCCCACACGGGGCCCTGGAGGTGTCGGTTGCTCGCCGCGTGGGCGAAGGCCGCTCTGTGCAAAGATTGCACCGGCCGGGGCGCATGTTGCGCAGGGTCGTTCCGGGGCAGCCGCGCTGGATTCTTTCCAGGCGTGTTTGTCAGTTGCTGGGCCAGGGCTGCTCACCGAGGACCCTGAACCACAAAAGCCAGTGGCCACGGGGGGGGGGCACGTGACCCGCTGCTGCACACGCACCCTCCGTGGCAGCCGAGCGGCAGCAGCGGCCACGGCAACTGTGTTTGAGAGGGGATGGGACCCAACCAGGCCGGCTGTGGGTGGGGTGACTGGGGGGGGGGGGCAGGTGTTGCAGAAACTGCTCCCAGGAAGAGACCCGCAATCACATCTGAAGTGTTTATTGGCAGTTCACATTTCGCAAAGTCCACCCTTCCCGAGGAAGGCAGGTGTTGCAACGGCCCCGAGGGGCGCCGTCCTTCCCACACCGCCCTACTGGGCCTCGGGCTCCCGAACGGCAGGACACTCCATGCAAAAGGCACTCGAGGGGAGCGGCCCCGGCGGCGTGTGGGGAGGGGCGGCCCAGCAGGGCCCGGGCCGGGGCCCAGAGGCAGCCCCCCCCGTGTCTCCGGGCCGTGGCGCTCCGGCTCCGGCTCAGCCCTTCTTCTGCTTCAGCCTCTCCATGTACATCTGCAGGGACTTCTGGATGGAGTCCCTGGAGATGAAGCGCACGAAGTTCTGGGTGTCGTCCTCGCGATGCGCCAGCAGGCGGTCCATGGGCAGCTTCCGCATGAGGGACTTAGAGATCTGGCGGGCGTGGTCTAGGGCACCAAGGAAGGCAGCGCGCCGGATCACGACCCTTGCCTGGCAAGCACTGTGGGCCTCTGGGGGCCCCCCGGGTGAGGCGGGGGCAGGCCGGGCTCCACGCACGAGCAGCAGAGCCCCCCCGTTTCCCCTCTAGGGCAGCGATGGGGAATCCCTGCCCAAGGGCCAGGTGCCACCCCGGAGGCTCTCCACCTGCTCCCGGACCTCTTCTGCTGTTCTCTCCAGTCCCTGACCAGTGGCAAGAGGGCATCTGGAGGCACCCAGGCCGAGGGCAAGGCAAACGCGGGGGTCGCTGCGGGTGGGGCAGCCCTCCCAAACCTGGCGCCCTCCAGGTGTTTCACGCTACAAGTACAACTCCTGGGATTCCTGAGCCTTGGCCACATTGGCCGGGGCCAATGGGAGGCGCAGCTCAAAGCACTCGGACGGCCCTGGGCGGCTTCCTCCCGGCCGGCCAGGGAAGTGGCTGCGGGGGCCCCTCTCACCTGGCACAGCAAGCCACTGGCCCATCGCTTTGGCGGCGGCCTGCAGGACCTTCTCCTCCGGGACCAGCTCATCCACGAGGCCGATTCTGAGGGCTTCGGGGCCAGAGTGGAGCAGCCCCAGCTGCAGGGAGAGCTCCGTGGCCCGGTGGCCAACCGTGTTCAGCGCGGTGTCCTTAAACCTGGCCGGCGGCAAGAGGCGGGTTCAGGCGGGAGGAGGGGGCTGGGGCGGCAGGCGAGCTTGGGCCGGGGCTGGGGCCAGGGGTGCCCCGAGGCGGCTGCCGAAAAGCTGACACTGCCAAAACTGCTTGAGACTTAAGGTGGGAGCCCGACCTGACCGGGAGAACAGGTGGCAAGTTTTGTTCCCCAAGTGCACCTTAGAGATGCTAATGCGCACAATTCCCCCCCACCCCCAGACTGGGACTAGTTGATCGGGTATAAAAGCGGCTCGTACAGGCTGCGTCCTGGTGGTCCCTTCGGGGGTGGCCTGCATACCATGTGTCTCTCTGCTCCGTCTGACGCAGCCGCCAGCGCTCTTCTGGTTGCCCCCCCCACCCCACAAGCATGCCTTCACCGTTTGGTGCCTGCCAAGCCGGGGGCCCAGGCCCAAGGCACATGGCAGCCCCCACGGACACCGCCTCCGCAAGCGCCCCTCACCAGAAGGGGGCCACAATGCCGAGTCTCGTCTCGTTCAGCCCGATTTTGTATTTGGGGTCGTCAGCCATAATCCTGTAGTCGCACGATAAGGCCATCAGGCAGCCCCCCGCGGGGCTGGAGCCCTGCAGCGGTCAGAGAACAGGCGTCCAGCAGTGCCTCCGGGTCCCTGGCGCCCCCCTGCTTCGGGAAGGCTCCCGCCCTCTGCCCTCTCCCGATCGCTCGACCCAAATGCCAGGTGTCCCAGGAAGGCATGCCCTGCATTCTGGAGGCCGCGAAGCGGAGTGGGCACCCAAGTGCAGCTCTCTTCAGGGAGAGACACGCCGCTTCTGGACGCTCTGGCAAGGTGCAGGGCTGGCACTGGCTGCGTTTCGCTGCACCTGTGCCCCTCGCGTGGGACCCCCGGCACTGCAAAAGTGTCCGCGAGCAAGGCCGAGTTGCGAAGGGCGGGGCATTTCCACAGCAGGGCTCCCCACACCGGGGAACCGGCCAGGTGGCCTCGCGCCCCAGCCCCCTCCCTGCCACCGACCAGCGCCCCCCACCCCCAGCCAAGCCCCCCACCGCTCTCGGCCCTTATGCCTGGGAGAGCTGCCCACGGAAAGCCCACCCACCACTCCCGGGCTGGCGTGTCTCTGCCGTTTCAGCACAGGGCTATTCCTTCGCCCACGTCCTGCGTGGGCCGTGAAGCGGGAGCGGGACGGCGGCCACCTCCAACCCGAACGGGCGCGCGCCGGGGTCGCGGCGAGAGACTTGCATTGACCGCGGCGATGGTCACCAGGCTGGAGCCGTACAGCTTCAGCCACATCTCCTGCACGGCCCTCCAGAACTCTGCGTAGTGTTCCTCCGTCTTGCCACACATCTCGGTGATGTCCAGCCCGGCCGAGAAGATCTGGGGGATGGCCTGGAAGTGGGGGGGAGCTCTCGTCACGGGCCAGGCGGCACTCCTCCCCAGCCTCCGGACGTGTGGGATTGCAAGTCCCATCGCACTGGGAGTTGTCACCTGCACATCTGGAATGTGCCGGCTGGGGGAAGGCGGATGTTGCCCATTTCCCCGAAAGGGGACTCTGCCCCAGCCGGCATTCCGGAAGGAAGTGTTCCGGCCAAGATTTAATTTTGCTTGCATCTAGGTTGTTCATATGTAAGATGCCATCAGAGGTGGGAAAAGGTGACCCAAACGTGAGGGGCAAACTTTTACACGCAGGGGGAGCAGGCCAGGCCCTCCCCAGGTCCAGCCGGGCTCCCCCTCTCCCCGCCCCCCAGGCCCGCCACCACACCGGTCCAGGCCCGCGTGGCAGCCATACCGAGGTCAGGATGACGCCTCGGCAGGCCTTGTCGTTCTCCAGCTTTTCCAGACTTATGCAAAACTCCGTGAGGAACTCCAGGCTGAGGCTGTTCACAGGCAGGCTCTTCATCTTCATCATGGCGACACCTGCAGAGGCAACACGAGGCACGCCGGTCGGCAGGCACTGGCCCTCAGGGGCCCCCCCGCCTATGGCAAACCTGCCTTTCCCCTCATGCACACATACGGGAAGGGCCCCCCGCTCTCTCCTGAGTGGCCCCGGGGCCTAATCATGGCCCGATGTGGCCGCCTTCTACATGGCTCTGAAGTGGAAGGCACTCCTCCGGTCGGCCACGCTCCAGCGGGGTGCCCAGGCGCCCTGCTTCGTGAACTGCTCGGGCTGGTCCTCCGTCTGGCGGTTTTTTATTTGTTTTCCGGCACCAGGCTAAGATCTTTCTATTTAAACAATATTTTAACAACCATTAATAATATTTATAGGTTTTAATTGTGCAGCCAGGGTGTTTCTGGGTTTTAATTGTATTTGTTTCATGTTTATTCATTTATGTGAACTGTCCCAAGGCTATAAGCGATGGAACGGCATACAAAAATTCTAAATAAATAAATAAAGGGTTGTAGGTGTCATGAGCCGCATCTGTGAGCTGCCTGTCAACACAGGGGACGCAGGGGACGCAGAGCGAGGCGAACGAGCAGCCGAGCCAGAGGCCGCCGGTCCCTCCGCAAGCAGCTGGGGCAGTTTGGGCCCCGCCGCAGGCAGCTCCCGCCCCGCCATGTGGGCGGCCAAGGCTTGTGCGGCCCGTGAGAAATGTCAGCATAATGCCAGCATACGCAAACCGGCACGATCCCGCGGAGGGGCCCTTCTCAACCAGGAAAGGGCAACGGCACCGGGGTGCCCCCCGCCTCGCCCCACGGCCCGTGCCTCTAGCGCGGCTGGCGCGTGCCGAAAGGCCTCTCCAAGGGGTCTCGGGGGCCCCGGCTCCCACGGAGGCGGGGGGCCCCGCGGGGCCTCGGAGCGGGCCGTGTCAGGGCGAACCCCACGGGGGTCGAGGCGCCGGCGTGGGGTACCTGTGCTGGCATCGAGCTCCACCAGGATTTTGCTGTTGCTGAAGAGCCGCCGCTGGTCCAAAGGGCGCCCGAGCCTGCGGGCAGCCGCCTGGTCTTTGCGGAGCGGGAAGAAGGGACCTGCAAGAAAGCCGGGGCTGATGGGCTGCGGAGTCTGCAGCGTTTCCGCTCTGGACGCTTGGCCTGTCTCCAACTTTGGGGGGCTCCCAGTCCAGGCCCCCCTGCAGGGCCGGTGTTTACCTGCCTTCCGGCCATTTGCGGCAGAAAGAAGTATGTGAGAGAGAGCAGGAAGAGCACGCAGCGCGCACGGACGCCACGCAGGGGGCGAGGGGCCCCTGCGCGAGTGCAGAATGCCCGTCGCTTTCCCGCAGGGCCGGCCGGGGAGGGGAGCGCCCTTCGCGGTCCGGCGCCCCCCCGGGGGCCGCTGCGGGGAAGGCGCGGGCGCGCCAAAGGGCCGAGCGGCCTCTCCGCCCCGCAGCCCGCGCGCCGGCCCGCACCCGCGGAGCCCACCTGAGCCGCGGAGCAGCCGCCAGGCCCGCGCCGCCGCCGCCGCCGCCATCTTCGCCCGGGCACTGCTCGCCCGCGGGCTCCCCCGAGCGGAGCAGCCTCGCTCCTGCGCGGCGCCCGCG